AAAAGATATGAGGTTTTAAAACATAGTGGCCCAAAATAAGAAAGCACCTGTGAAATTGGAAAGGAAAAAAAACAACAACCACCCAGCAATATCAAAAACACTTGAATAATCAAGTTGTACTTGCTGGGTTACCTTTGTGCCTTCCTGGTAACAGTTCCACTTTAGTTCAGATTGGGTTCCTGCAAACATCTTCAGAAGTTGTGGGAGCTTCATCCCTGGAGGCTTTCAAGAAGAGACTGGACTGCCATCTGTCAGAAATGGTGTAGGGTCTCCTGCTTGGGTGGGGGGTTGGACTAGATGACCTACCAGGTCCCTTCCAACTCTTGTTAATCTGTTACTTGTTTTTGACTTTTCAACCGACTAATCTGTAGCCACCATGGCTTAAAACCCCCCATTTGAAGTCCAATGCAAAACCATGGAGCCCCACAGTAGAAAAAGGCTGCCTTTTTCTTGATTTTTGGCTTTTGCTTTCCAACCCCTTTCTGGATAACCCACAACATAATGTCATAATCATTAGATCTGGAAGCCAGAGAAATCTGCCAAGCCCGCCTTCCAGCACTTTAAGCATCGTGAATCATCCGAGGACTTAAGAGAAACGTTCTAACAAGAAGTGCCAAGTTCAACAGAAGAAGATGGTGACTTAGTCATTTAAAAGAGGAGGGGAGAGAGAGAGAGAGAGAGGGAGAGGTCAGGGAGGGAGGCTGGTGGAAAATTTTCCTTTGCAGAACCGAAAGGGGAATCACATGAAAGGAGATCACAAGTTCACACAATTCCCTCAGTGTAGTCGGGTGCCAAAAGGAATGGAAAATTTCCTTTTTTCCCCCCCACCGGTCACATGGCTGCTTTTTCTCTTCTTTCTCGTCCGCCCCGCCGGAGGCGCCTTTGCAAACAAGCCAAGGCTGATGTTACAAACCACATTCTGATTTAATTTTATTCTCCCACACCCCCCCCCCACCCCGGCAAGGCGGAGAAATAAAATAACACAAACAGCCCTGACTTGTGTGGAGGGAGGAATGTTTGCTCCCTGGGAATCGTTAGAAGTCAATATCATAAATGAAAGTTCAGGCGGAGCGCAGGAGTGTCTCCCACCTCTGAAGAAAAGGGCAGGGGGAGCTTCAACGGTGTCAACTCATAAAATAAATTCCATACATTTGATCAAGTGGAAGGGCTATCCCTTAGCAGAGGCATCTTGGGTCAAGAGTAAGAACATCCAAGCCGATCGCCTTCCATGCAGAAAAACCAACCGAGCCTGGAGGAGGTGCGTGTATTCCGCAACCCAAAGTCCTATTCGTGCAATAAATTTGTTTTTTTATTTTATTTTATTGGTGTTGTACAAGTCAGGGGTCCCCAACCACCAGTCCGCGGACCGGTACCGGTCCGTGGAACAAGTCCTACCGGGCCGCTGGTTTGCTGGGCACCGCCATCTTGTTTTGATGAAAAAGTGCTTCCGGTGAGCTCACCGGAAGCACTTTTTCATCAAAACAAGATGGCGGCGCCCAGCTGATGTCGGTACCGGGCCGCGCCATAAAAAAGGTTGGGGATCACTGGTACAAGTCACCTTCAGGAAGTGAGGGGAGCCAAATGTCAACACATCAAATATTTCTGTGGTCTTTTTAGAGTTGCCAACAGAAAGGGAGCGGGGAGAAGTGCAGCAGCTTGCAAACCTGAGGCTGCATTCCACCAGTTTTCAAAAATAGTTAACTAGGTGAGCGAAGTTTCTGCCGAGCAAAATTCTAACTGGAGAGCATGATTGAGGACTCTTGTTTATGGATGTGTCTCGTTGGAGAATGTGAATTATGATACACCCAGGGGATGGAGGGGGGGAACCGGGGTCAAGGGTGACAGTGAATTATGTACTTCAGAGCCAGCTACACCCAGGCAGTGCCGCATCTTTTAACTCCCAATAAATCCTTTTGGAGTTTCGCTAGAGACTCATGATTTAAATGGGGTTAAGGGTCGGGATCCTGACACCTGGTTGCTGGGTGGGCCTGGTGTAGTCGCCTCCTGCGCCACGGTGGGGAGGGGGCGTTTTCATCTTCCCTGGGCTCCGGAGCCTTTCCTCGAGCCTCTGGGAGGGCAAAAACAGCCTCCCGGCCTTGGGAGACCCTCCCAAAGCCGGAAAACGGGCTCATTTCTGGCCTTCCGGAGCCTTCGGGGCAGTGGCATTATGCTACCTGTTTGGCCTGGTTCTGCTGAGCCGATAGCGCCGATGAGCAGTGGGTCCCGGTTCTCTCGGCCACTCTGCTGTTGGGCCCACCCGCCTGCCTAGGCTCTCGTACTCACCTTTGTCCTCTGAACTTGAAGTGCTTTGCGCGACCCAGCAGAGCGCTACGCGGCAGCTGCTGAAGCTCCTGGGAGAGTGCAGGCTTGCAGGTGGTGAATCAGAACGCCTCTGCACCTGTGCAAAGTGTGCGTTTAGCGTGTGCGTGCACGCAAAGTGTGTGCAAGCCACGCCCACCGAACCGGTGGTAAAACTTTTTGAATCCTACCGCTGCTCTAGGAGGTGTTTTTTGCCCTCCCCGAGGCTCCACATGGGCCCCGTACTTGTCTGGCATCCCAAACGGGTCGTGTGGGGACTCCTGGGGGGTGACGGGGTGGGTGGGGCCAGCCAGGGGTGGGATTTACCGGTTCATTGAACCAATAATTAAAATGGATGAAATTAGCTCAAACCGGGGGAACCGGTAGCAGCCCAACCCTGAGAAAGGGCTTTCCAAGAAGAAAGATGGGAGGGGTCGATGGAAAACAGGGTTGGGCAATCCTTTGTCCCCCCAATTTCGCATTGGGAGGGGGCCGAGCCCACCAAGCTCCGAGGGAGAGGGGCATGAAGAAACGGTCAGATCATCCACAACTTACAACAGTTCATTGAGTGACGCTCAAAGTTACAACGGCACTGAAAAAAGGGGGGGCATTTATGAGCCTTTTTCACACCAATGACCGTCACAACATCCCCCTGGTCACGTGGCCAGCATTCAGGTGCTTGGCAACTGACTCGTATTTATGACGGTCCCGGAGGTCAAAGTCAGATTCACGGAAAAGCTGTGTGACTAATTTAACGGCGGTGATTCACTTAACGGTGGCAAGAAAGGTCCTAAAGTAAGGGCAAAACTCACTTCAGCGATGTTTCACTTAGCGGCAGAAATGTTGGGCTTGATTGCGGTCATAAATCAAGGACTATCTCTGTGTGTGTGTGTGTGTGTGTGTGTGTGTGTGTGTGTGGGTGTGTACAGAGTGAATTTTTCCAACAGGTGAGAAGCCACAAAGTGGATTTTCTTTATCCTTTCCCGGGCGGGGCAGAGGAAACAGGTTTTCCTTATTTATACATAAGCCAAGCTGATGTTTACATCGGTGTTCATTTCTCAAAGAGTTTTCCAACGCAGAAACGTCCTAGTCTAGGGGTGTCACACTGTGGGTGCTTAGATCTGGCCCACGGGGCCACCTTGGGAACAGCAAAGGGCCATCATGCCTCTGCGTGCGCCCCTCCCCCCCCAAACTCCATTTTCATTGTCAGAGGGCTAGCAAAACAAACTAAAAACATATCAAAAGTAGAAAAATTTTCCCCTTTTCCATTTGAGCTTGCAAGAAGGGACAGGAAAGGAGAAAGGGAAAGAGGAAAGACAAAGAAGGGAAGATGGGAAAGAAGAAGAAAGCAAAAGGAAGAGGGAAGGAAAAAGAAGGAAGGAAGGAAGGAAGGAAGGAAGGAAGGAAGGAAGGAAGGAAGGAAGGAAGGAAGGAAGGAAGGAAGGAAGGAAGGGGGAAAAACAAGGAAGGAAGGAAGGAAGGAAGGAAGGAAGGAAGGAAGGAAGGAAGGAAGGAAGGAAGGAAGGAAGGAAGGAAGGAAGGAAGGAAGGGGGAAAAACAAGGAAGGAAGGAAGGAAGGAAGAGGAAAGAGGAAGAAGAAAGGGGGCAAAACAAGGAAGGAAGGAAGGAAAGAAGGAAGGGGGAAAGAAGGAAGAAAAAAAGGGGAAAGAGCAAGGATGGAAGGGGGAAAGAGGAAGGAAGGAGAAAGGGAGGAAAGCAAGGAAGGAAAGAAGGGGAAAAAGGAAGGAAGGAAGGAAGGAAGGGGGAAAGAGAAAGGATTGAAGGGGGAAAGAAGGAAGGAGAAAAGGGGAAAGAGGAAGGAAAGGAGGAAGGGAGAAAGGAAGATTATGAGGGAGGATCTGAGGGAAGTCTCCCTTGGGACTTGGCCACCACAGGTGCCCCCGACACCAGTGGCGTCGAGCAGGCCATGCCCACCCTGGCTAAACCTACCCCGGCCTCCCCAAAGTGAAACACAACCCTGATGAAATCGAGCTTTTTACACCCCTGTCCTGGTCGCAGGGGGCTTCTCCGTAAAATTGCAAACCAGAAAGGAAAGCCTTCAGGGTCCACGTTGACAGCCTGACCAACTTGAACAGAAACGAGGAGACGGTATTTTTCCAACCTTAGCAGTTAGGTAACCGCAGATGGTGGCCAAGAATGCGATGAGATCATGGGATTGTGCAACGGGAATTCCACAGAGTTCTTGAGAAACTGAAAGCAAGCTCTGCTTCTGAGTTAAGTCACCTCGCCTGGCGCAACTTCCTGATTGCTTGATGAAATCATGGCAGCCCTCTCCGTGGAGGGAAGGTTTGGTCTGGATAGGCTGCAAATGAATAGAAGTGTTGGGGCCCTCGCTGGTCGCCTTCTCCCCGGCACGCAGCCAAGCTCTTCTTCTCGGCTACACCCGCCACCCACGCGAAACTGCAGCGGCAAAATGGCAATGATAACCCAAAACGAGAGAGATATATTCGAGTTCGCGGGCTGCTCTATCAAGAGGTTCAAAAGCAAGTTAAAAGCCGCAGGCTGAGCACAGCCACTGTCAGGTTTGGGTTTATTCCTTTAAAAAATAAAAAGAGATGTGTACAAATATATAAAACGACTTTTTAAGACAATGATAAAATGACAGGAGAGAACTGTAGAAAGGGAAGATGGGGACGTTTTCCTGGCGTGGGGAAAACTGGGGGGAAAAAACCTTTAAAAAAAAAAAAGCAGGATGGGATAACAAGAGCCGCAATTGTGACAAGAACACACAGTTAAAAAGGCTCCTTCTGCACTCAGGGGCCAAATTCAGGAGGAGCTAGAAACACCCAGGACTCGTTTTAAAAGACAAGCAGGTTTGACCAACCGAAATCCTAATGCGATTTGCACCCTGTTGTGTCCCAGGAAGAACCGATGGAATCAGGGCCTCCGCTTGACGCGCTGGAGGAAAAGTCTCAAAAGGGCAGAGAAAATTCCCTCTTTGGAGGCTGCAGCGTGTCGAGTAGCACCGGTTAATCTTCTTGGAGCACTAAGACTTCAGACAAGTCTTGCACCCCTTGTAGTTTCAGGTTCTGGGGACAAGCGGGGGGGGGGGGGGGGGGGGGGGGGGGGGGGAGAATCAAACGTCAAGCTTTAAAGCTGCCCCCCACTCAAAAGCATTTTTTTCTTCTTCTTCTTCTTCTCCACGTTGGCGAAGGCACAGAAAGCAGGAGTGGGATTCTAGCGGTTTGCACCGGTTCTATAGAACTGGTTGCTCCGAAGAGCAGCTGACACCGAATCAGTTCGCCGCGATGATTTTCTGGTCTCCCATTGGGCCCACCCGCCTGCCCGGGCTTTAGGCTGTGTCCTCCTCAGTTGCTTTGGGAGGCACGGCTGAATGCCGGCTTGTCACCTGGGGAAGGTGAATGCTTGCCCGGAGCTGGTAGTGTGTAAATAAGTGTGCACCTGCACGCTCAACGAACCGGTTGTTATGCCGGTCGGATCCCACCCCTGCACGAAAGAAAAAGGTTTCCCCGACTGGTTAAGAGAATTTTGGTTGAAAAGATGCGGTTCATCCCAGGTGACCATCCCACTACAGATAGTTCTCGACTTACAACGGTTCATTGAGTGACCGTTTGAAGTGGCGACGGTGCTGGGGAAAAAAAGGGGGGGGGATTCGTAACCGTTTTTCACACTTATGTCCATTGTTGCCTCCTCGGGGGCAACATTCAGACGCTTGGCAACTGGCTCATATTTATGACAGTTGCTGTGTTCCTCTGTGTGTATGTGTGTGTGTGTGTGTGTGACGTGATTCCCCTTTGGCCACCTTGCAACAAGCCAAATCAATGGGGGAGCCAGATTCCCTCCACAACCGTGTTGCTGTTTTAACCATCGGCAGCGATTCATGGAACAACGGCGGCAAGGAAAGGGCCCAAAACTCTCTGGACAGGTGTTTCATTTAGCAACATAAATGTTTGGGACTCCACTGCAGCTGTAAGTCCGCCTGTTTTTTGCATGATGCACCGTACTCACCTTTTCGTTAGCCAGGTGCAAGAGGCAGGCAAACGCCAACGGCACTGACAGGTTTTTCGCCATCACGGAAGGCAGGCTGCAAGACAGAAGAAGCCGTGATCCCTTTTTGCGACCTGCTGACAAGCAAAGTCGACCGGGGGAGGGGGGGAGATTCACTTAACAACCACATTTGCTAACAGAACAACTGCAGCCATTCACTTTAACGACTGCCTCCCTGAAGCAGCGGGCATCTGGCGCTCGATTGTGGTTGCGTGTCAAGGACTGCCTGTGTTTTCCTCTCTTGTTATCAGCTGCCTTGAGGTAGGGCATAAATCAAAGAAGCCAGCTGATAAAGATCCCTCCTCTCATGGTCAGAGAAACCTGTTGTTTTTTAGTTTACTTTATTGTCATTGCCCCTCATACAATGAAATTAAGTAACGTCCTCAGTGCACATCATGACGATGAAAATAAACACACACACACATCCGTCCCACTCCACACATTGAATTGAAAACCCCTGATGCTGCATTCATATTGCACTCTACAGTAGAATTCAACAGAGCTCCTGCCCTGGGATAGAAGCTGTTTATCAGCCTATTTGTCCTTGTTTTTATTCTGTACCATCTGCCAGGTGGTAATAGTTCAAAAAAAAAAAAAAAGATTTCCCAGGATGAGATGGATCTTTGAGGATGTTTTGAACTTTCTTAAGGCAGCGGGAGCTACAAAGCTCTTCCAAAGAGGGGAGAGGGCAACCCGTGATCTTCTGGGCAATGACGTGAACTCTCTGGAGTGCCATCCTATCTGCCCCGGTGCAATTGGCAAACCAGACACAGGTGCAGTAAGGCAAGGCTGATCAAATAAAAAGCATTCCCCAACCTGGGAGCAGATACAGAGAAATTGTCAAACCGTTCGCATCGTGTAAATCAGTGTGTGGGATTCTACTGGTTCGGCACGGTTCAGCCGACGATCGGCTTCACGCCGACGATCGGCTGCTGGGCCCTCACCTCTATTCTGACCTTTATTTCCTGGCTTTGAAGCTCAGCTGCTTCGCGCGGCAAAGTGGATTGCCGCACTTCAGCTGTTGAAGACACAGGGAGAGTGCAGGATTGCAGGAAACCCTCAGGAGCAAACCCTCTGCGCCCACCAAGCCATGCCCAACAGAACCAGTGGTTAAAAAACATGTGAATCCCACCACTGGTCTAAATGCTTCTTTGTGGTACTCTGACTCTCCGTGGCTTGTCCTATGGGAGTGATGGCGAACCTTTTTGGCACCGAGGGCCCACGTGTGTGCGTGTCTGCATCCCTTGCGCGTGCACCCTGCCCCTCCCATGTATGTGCTCCGCCCCCACCCATGTACCCTGCCCTCTGTGCATGCGCTGCCCCCCACGCATGCATGACGGAGACCCAAAGAGCAGCTGGCCGGTGGGAGGAGTGTGCGCATGCACGGCAGAGCTGAGCTGAGGTATGCCCAGAGGGAGTTCTGTGTGCCACCTAGGCTTGCCATCACTTCTGTTCTCAGCCCTCCCTCTCGGAGTGGAGGGAGGAAGAGGAGGATAATTATTCCAAATCCTCTGACCATAGCCATTCTGAGGAAGAACAACTTATAGATCTTTTGGTTTAACAAGGCTGCCCTCCCCCCTTGAGGGAGGAGGAGTTGTTTGAATCCTTCTGCTAGGCCCTTCCTATTGGCCACAGTAACCGTCTCCCTGAGATCTTCAGGCCTATTCTCCTCTGAGCGTAGGCCCACAGCAGTGGGGTGTAGGCCTAAACCCACCCTGAACCCCCTGACTACCCAGGGGGCCAGGTCCCCATGTAGCTTGTCTAAAGGAAGGCCCTGACCTGCTTAAATCCTGGGGGGAATTGATCTTCCTCCACTCCCTCAGGGGACCATGCTAACGGGTGACTGGAAGCAGATTCACACACACACACACACACACACACACCGGAAGAAAACTCAGGGCTACTACGCACCTCCCCAGAATGAGTTTACTACATCAAGGAATAAGAGGGGGGAGGGGAGAACCTCTGCATGCACCACTGGCTTGGAGAATAACACATCGGAGTGGGCAGAAGTGGATGCTTGTGGTTCAGGTGCCACCTCCTCAGGGCTGAGGAGCTAAGCAGTGACCGAGGCCTTGTGTAACAAAGGCTTAAAAACTCCCGCAACCGGAGGCTGATCAACTCTGAGGTCCTCCTCCTCAGACATATTGGGATCAAGCAGTGGTTTCCTCTAGAGATGAGTGTATCATCATCATCATCATCATCATCAGGCTTCCTGGTCTTTGACAAAGAGTTCCGACACCCTGGGAAAGGGCCTATGACAGTTCGCCACGGCCAACTCTCCGCAGGAGAAGAGTTACACTGACATCAAAGAAATGGTGGGAAAGAATCTCACTGGAGAAAAGAGGCGAAAGGAGGGGCAGAAGGAAACGTGAATTGGCAAAAAAATAATTTCTCGTTTATCTGAAATAATTAAAATAGAATTGTAAAATTGTCCCTGGCGAGTTGTCCCGTTCCACCCTGGAAATACCTGTGAAGTAGCTCCTTGGTGATGCTACTGAAGACCTTTGGGCTAGAGATGAATGAAGAGTTGACCTTTTTCTCTGGGCCTTCACTCTGCAGAGGGAACATGAAAAAAAGAAAAAGAAAAGCAGTGTCAGCATTCCAACTAACTGATGCCAAACCAATAAACTCTGAGACAAACAGTTCCTCAAAGTTCCATTTTATTAGAGTTGTCATATTGGCACATCTGGGGAAAAACTGAATCGGAGAGTTTCCGGTTTTCCCCTTCCCAAAAGAGAAATCCAAGATCCATCCCCTGCACCCACCAGTCCATCCTATGGCCCAATCAAATCTTCTTTCCCCACTGGAGACATTTCCCCCCAGTCACTCCCCTCCAGGTGCAGGGCAACATGTCTTTGACTCTCTGAGAAAGAGTGTTGTTGAGTCTAATCTTCCACCTCTCTACTAAATCCCCCCTCCCAAATTCCCAGGAACTGAATGTGACAGCCTTGAAGCTTCCAAGTAAAAAATGGCTTTCAAGGCTGGCAAGCAGTCAGACCATAAACTTTCTAGGCAGAACTTGCTGTGTTCTGACCATGCCAATGGCTAGTCTAGGGAGAGAAGGACCAGGGGAGACAGGATAGCAGTCTTCCAATATTTGAGGGGCTGCACCAGAGAGGAGGAAGGGGGTCAGGCTATTTTCCAATTGACCTTCTGACAAGCAAAGTCAATGGGGATTCACTTAACAACAGATTCTTCTTAAAAAGATCCAGTGATGGAGCACAACAACCTCTGGTGGTAAGCTGTTCCACTGGCTAATTGTCCTAGGAAGTTTCCCCTTAATTCCAGGTTGCTTCTCTCCTAGATTAGTTTCCAACCATTGTTTCTTGTCTTGTCTTCTGATGCTTTGGAGAATAATTTGACCCCCCTCTTCTTTGTGGCAGCCCCTCAAATACTGGAATACTGCTATCATGTCACCCCTCATTATTCTTTTCTTTAGACTAGCCAAACCCAAATCCTACAGCCATTCTTCATATAGCTTAGACTCCAGGCCTTTGATCGTCTTAGTTGCTCTTTTCTGAACTTTTTCCAAAGTCTCAACATCCTTTTTTGTAGTATGGTGACCCAAATTGGTTGTGGTATTCCAGGTGTGCAGTATTCCAGGTGTGATAATCGCCAATCTTTTAATACTCTCTGCTGAGGTGTGGAAGAACAATATTGTTCTCAGGATGCTCTTTTCCAAGAAAATAAAATTTTGCAGCTCTTCTTTTTTGCAAGTGGTGATTAAAAGTGTGCAGTTACTGCCTTAAGAAACAGAGTTCCGAGAAAGTCAACTATGATACCAAAGAAACAGAGTTCAGAGAAAGTCAACTATGATACCAAAGGAGAAAACAAGAACAACAATAAAACCAGGTTTCCTTAAGCATACCTCTTCCTCGGTCTGATTCTTTGAGACCTCTGTCAAGAGGTGCCACATGCTCTGCTTGAGCCTCTTCATGTCCATTTTTTTGGCAGTTTTTGCATATTGAATGTCTATTTTGTTCACCTGGAATCCAAAATTAGGCAGAGTTAGAACAGTCATAATAATCCCAAGACAAACCTGCAACCCTGCCTTCCAAAGTATTGCTATTCCATAAGCCTCCTGGAGGCCCTTACTGAAAATAAATAAAATAAGTCTGCTTTCTAGAAGAATGTAAGCACACAGAATGAGAAAACTAATCTAGAACTAAGTTTTGAGCTAGTTTCTTGTCACAAAAAGCAAGCATCTCTCAGCCTGGTTGAGAAGGAATCGCAATAGCCCTTAGATTTATATACCACTTCACAGTGCTTTTACAGCCCTCTCCTAAGTGGTTTAGAGAGTCAGCCTCTTGCCCTCCCCAATAATTTGGGCCCTCATTTTATTGATCTCAAAAAGGATGGAAAGTCGAGTCAACTTTGAGCGAGTCATGATCAAACTCTTGGCAGTGGGCAGTGGGCAGAGTTAGCCTGCAATACTGCGGCACCAGGAAGGAGAAAATGAATAAGAGAGAGAGAGAGAGAGGGGAAGGAAGGAAGGAAGGAAGGAAGGAAGGAAGGAAGGAAGGAAGGA